CTAAGTGGAAAATCCCCAAACCTTGCTGTAACCATGATAAAAACCCTGCTGATTTGAAATTCGGGGCTCTCAATTCTGACCCGCTGCGTCGGCGACGGTTGAGAGTCCCTGCTCGAGCTTCAATACACGACCCTCGTGTGTTTGCATCGGAATCAGCTCCTTGGTGGTCTTTGGGGACTTCGCGATCTGGGCAGAACACACCCTCCTGACTTTTTCAAGATCCTGTCTTCTCTGATCTTCTAGACGTGCTGAAGAAATCAACAATCAAGAATTCAGCTTAAATAAAACAAAAAAGGAGGAATATGGGGAAAATGTAGGATTTAGTTACTAATTGTAAGAAGCTTGTAAAATAAGAAAATTAAGCAATTCTCTGTGAATGTCCTCAACTCTAGGATTTAGTTCCTAATTGTAAGAAACTTAATTGAAAGAACTAAGTAAATGTCTCAGAGAACTTCCTCTGGCCTTTTTGCTGAAAGGATTGCAGAAAACCTTAAAAGATGTAAAAGTTCATAGGAAGTAAACATGTATTCCTAAGCTCTCTTAGTAACCATTGTCTGGGGTCAAAGAATCATGGCCCCGTGACTCTACAGATGGAGGGAAAGATTGTGGGCTTGATTTCTGCAGAAATCACCCTGCTTTTCTGGAACATCTGATAGAGGAGGGCTGCGATACACTCTTAGATGTACGGCTCTGGTGAACAGAGACATGAGACATGTAAACTTGCCTGTGGCTTTATGAGTTACTTGTTAACCTTTAAGACTAAGATAAATGTAACAATGCCTACCTTACTGTGTGGGATTGTGCCCCCCAAAAGGAATTACCTATATGCTAAAACAAAAACAGAAACCATCTCTGTTCCCTTTATACAATGATTGAAAAATTTAAAGATGATTTCTTTTCAGTATTATTTCCTCTTTTACTATATCTCTTACTGTTTTATAAAATTATAGAAGGACTAGACATCAAATTGAGCTGACATAAGACATCTCCCTTCCTGGCCTGTCAAGATCCTGTCTCTTGATCTTCGTGATGTTAGAATCAAGAATTTAGCCTAAATAAAATAAAAAAGGGGGAATTGTGGGAAATGGTAGAATTCAGCTATCTAGTTCACAAGAAGTTTGTTAACTAAGAGAATTAAGTCATTTCTGGGAAATTCCACAAGTCTGTTTGTTAAAAGAATGCCAGAAAACTTTGAGACCTTGTAAAAGTCTCACAGGAGAAAAACAGGTTTTCCTAGTTTTCTTATTTACCATTTTCTGGGATCAGAGGACTGGAACCAATGACTCTAGGGGTGGTAAGAGAGATACAACTCACTATGCACATCTGTGATGTTTATGGTGGGCCGGTGGGCTTGATTTTTGGCTAAAGTCATCCTTTTCTCTTGATACTCTCTGATAAGAAGAGGGCTGTGGTGTGCTCTTTGATGTGCAGGATTGGTGAATGGAAACAGGGGACTTGTGAATTCTTCTGTAGCTTTTATGAGTCACTTAAAGTCACTGGTTATCATCAGAGGTGAAAATCAGAAAGACAATAGCCAGAATAACTAAACTGCTTTCCTACATGTATAAAAGCCTTGCTTCTTTCCTTTGTGATTGTCGAATAGTGCCAGAGGAATTAAACTGCTGTTCATCCCCCAGGCTGTCTCCTTTTCTTTCTTTAAAAGTTGGTGCTTTCCGGGGTCTCCGGGTTCCCTCTAGAGAAACCAAGGACCGGAGTCATCAGCACCTCCCATCAGAACTGGGATTATCTTCGGGGAAGGGCAGCTGGAACCTGCAGTACAACCCTGCAGAGTTCAACCCTACAGGAAGACAGGGAGCTCAACTTGGGACTTGCAGCCAGAAATGTTCCTGAATCTCACAGGTCTGCAATTTGCTTGCTGAGACTCATTGACTTATATCTGCACACTGCTACCCACATTCTCTATTGTGGCAACAGAGACATACCCTGAAAGAGGCCCTTCATTTTCATTTTTTTTTAATTTACAAAATTAGTATTATTAGTTTGGTTTTTTTTCTCTTTCCTTTTTCTCCTCTTATCTTTAATTGTTTTTCCCACTCTTTGCAAATATTTGTTTTTCTCTCCTATTTTTCTTTTCTTCTTCCTTTTCTCATTCCTTTCTCTCTCTCTTACACTCACTCTCTTGCTCTCCCACATGGTTCATCACCCTTTTTGTCCCTGTTCTGGCCCTCATTTGGAGTTCTTTATTTTCCTATTATTCTCTTTTTCCTTCTTGCCTGTGTCCTCTGGCCTCACTGCTAACCTTCCCCTATCCTTCTACCTATCTATTCCTCCCTCCCTAACTCCTTCTAACTCCCCATCTGGAAGGATAAAGTTGTTATATTGAAGAGTTTATTCACTATATGTTGGGTTGGTCCTTGATCATGATTTAATTCACCCAGCTAAAGGTGATAGATTAATAACTACCGCAAAATGTCATTTTTTAAGATGTACTTGATGCAATGGTGTTGCTGATTGTATCACTTGAGCTAAGGTGTTGTTACTGATGTAGTCAGTGATCCTTCCTAGTATAAGGAAAATGAGATAGTCCTAGAGTCATTAGAGACTCAAAACTAAAAGACCAGATATATCTGGAAGACACCTCTGAGAAGCAATCATTCCATAAGGGCTCTAATTACAAGCAACAATTATATTTACAACAAGCAATTGCAAAGTATCAACCCAGAAGTTAAACCAAGGAGGGTACGAAAAACAAAAATGAGAAGACATTTAAGCAAGGCACAAAGTCAGACTTTCACCCCACTAAGGGTAAACCCTGGGGTAAATGAGGTGGAAAAGTCCAAAAACCAACCACCTGGATACCCTGAACTAATAGCACAAGAAGTAACAAAACACATGAATGAGGCTCTAGAAAAATTCAAAGCAGAAATAATCTCCCAGATATCTACAGAGATGGTGAGCAGAGTCAAAGACATGATTAGAGGATCTAAAAAAGAAACAGATAAAAATTAGATGAACTCAGAAACATGCTGGGAGCTATGAATACCCAGCATAAGAAGGAAATGGAAACCATGATAGCCCAACATAAGAAAAAAATGGAATCCATGAAACAGTTTCAAACAGATATTCAGGAGATTAAAAATACCATTGAAAGTATCCACAGCAGATTAAGGGAATCTGAAGGTAGAATATCAGATATAGAAGACAGGATTGTGGTTAAAGACCATGAAAACAGATTTTGTAAAAATAGTAATGGACCATGAGAAATCAATCCAACAGCTGCTAGACAATGCAAAGAAGAATAACATAAGACCGATTGGAGTCCATGAAAAAACAGGAGAAAGCACAATTGACATTATAAAAATGTTCACAGAAGTAATAGTAGAAAACTTCCCAGACAGAGGTAGAGAAATGGACATACAGCTAAGTGAGGCATATAGAATTCCAACTAGCCATGATCAAAAAAAATCTACATCTAGAGATATAATAGTCAAGATCCCAGAAACCCAACAGAAAAATAAAATCCTACAAGCAGTTAGAGAAAAGAAACAAATCGCCTAAAAAGGAAAGCCCATCAGAATCATGCCAGACTTTTCAACACAAACCCTCAAGTCAAGGAGAGCCTGGAGTGAAGTATTTCAAGGCCTAAAAAAAAATAACTTCCAACCTAGACTGTTGTATCCTGCAAAATTATCTTTCAAAATTGATGCAGAAATTAGATACTTCTATGACAAAGAACACCTGAGAAATTTCATGAACACAGAACCAGCACTACAAGCAATTCTAATCAATATCCTACAAAAAAACAATGAAGGTCACAACTCCATGAGACCCAACAGAGGGAAGCCACCAGGCAAGGTAAGACACTAAAGGGAAAGGGGGAAAAATAAGATAAAAGAGCTAAAAAAAGTAAAACATCATGACAAGGATAAATCAATATCTATAAATTATAACTATCAATGTTAATGGACTCATTTCACCAATCAAAAGAAATAGACTGGCAGAATGGATTAAGAAGCAAATTCCAATGATATACTGTATACAAGAAACATACCTAACTCAAAAAGAAACTCATAGACTGAAAGTGAAAGAATAGAAAACAGTTCTCCACACAACAGGAACCCAGAAAAAAGCAGGTGTAGCAATATTATTTGCACACAAAGTAGATTTCATACCAAAGATAATTAAGAGAGACAAAGATGGTCACTACATCCTTGTGAAAGGAACAATCCCAGAGGAAGAGATGACAATCCTAAATATATATTCACCAAATATGAATGCCCCCAACTATACAAAACAAATATTAATGGACATAAAAAACCATATAAACACTAACACAATTGTAGTGGAGGACATCAATACCCCACTGTCACAAATAGACAGATCATATAGACAAAAAGTTAACAAGGAAATTCTAGAACTGAACCAAGTTATTGAACAAATGGACTTAATAGATGTTTACAGAGTGTTC